CTACTCTCTACACACACACACACACACACACACACACACACACACACACACACACACACACACACACACACACACACATACAAAGGTGTAACAATTGAAAATCCTTTAACAGATCCATATTAAATTTTTCAAGGAGGATTCAATTTAGATATGCGTACAAAAAGTATAGTTGGATGGTCATAACTGTGCTGGTGACATTTACTACTATTCTTTGCACATACTTAGCCTCCTTCGCAGTCTTGTTGGGCGTCGGCGTTATTTTTTCTCTGAGCGACGCGAGTAATATGAGGCCGCGAGGGACGATTTGCTGCCGAGGGAGTTTTTGCCACGGAGAGAAGGTTTCGCGCCCAACAAGACTGCGAAGGAGGCTAGCACATACTAGTGTAATGAATGGGTACAGGTGAGATATAAAGGAGAGAATCATTAATGATACTAACACAGTTTAGGTTTGTCAGGTGTGCCATATAAAACATTATAGCTGGGTGTACACTTCACGATAACTACAGTACGTGCTATTTCTAAGGTATCGTTTTGCTTGAATTGCCTGAGTACGGAAATCACTGACAGAGACACCATTGTACTCCTATGTAAACGTGGCTCCGCGAACACGAAGAAACCAGCCTGTGTATATAGACAGTGAGTTCTCAAAACAAAATACCTTTACTTTCATCTGTATTGGAGAGGTGTGCGGTTAGTCAAAGGCTCACCTGTTGGGATACATATTATTTGCACAGGTGTGGTCTTTACCTGTTCGGTCCTTTATTCTTTATTCGACAGCCTTGTGTCTGATACTGGACATATCGGTTTTGAATATATGTTTTGGATTGCCTAACTCAAGAATGGCATGATTCTAAAACTACCCCCGTTTTGTTATAATGTGTATAACCAGGCATGTAAACTCTGTCAACATATTTGAATGAGCATTGTAACCGTTCTTACTGTATATTCAATACTGTCCAGTTACCAGAGATAGAATTTCAGAATAGCCTCCGGCTGGTTCGGCACTCCTGACGTTGTATCCTTTTTATACAGCTTAATAAATCAAATCAACTGTCCTTAGTGCTTGCAGGAATGGTAGAAATATGAAATAGTTATTTACGAGTGACATAAACAGACCTAACAAGAGCTCCACGATCTCATACCTTCTCCAAATGTTGATCCGTCGACGAATTATACATTTTATTAATTGATTTCGCAAATAAGAGCACCATTTACATGGGTTATATCCGTTGATCATATTCTCCAACCAATGGCAGCCTGATCTTACCAAAAAAGGCTATTCTAGCAATTCCTCATAAATTATGCAAATATGGTCATGCTTTGAATAAATTATGTTTATTGCTGTTCACCTTCACTTAACTTCCAAATGCGGCAAGTATAAAATTCCCAGCAGTTACTGCTACTAAAATAATATAAATTTTCTCATTAATTATGCAAATGACGTCTTCTTGTACATAATCTTTATCTTCAGATGTTGTTCTCGTTCTCAATTACATATGCCACAAGTGTTTCATAGTCCGATTATGGAACGAAGCAGATTTATAGAATTTCCTCATGAATTGTGCAAATTAGCTAATGATTTGCATGATTGTCATCTTGTTATGTCAAGCATCACTTTAGCTACCTACACTGTATACATACCAAAAATCAAGAGAATCGGTCAACCGGTTCTTCAGTTATCCTCCTTCGAAGATTTTTCAACAAACACTCCTGCAGTTTCAAAACAAGCCGCTAGGGGGGCCAAACTCATGTCAATTCTTCCCTAGCCTAAGACCTATCTACCATTCAAAATTCATGACCCTAGCATGTCCAGATCACGAGATATCAAAACCGGAAGTCCTGCTGCAGTACCAACAAAAGCCGCCAGGGGGGCCAAAATCTAACCATTTCTAAGTCTCACCAAGACCTACCTACCTACCAAGTTTCATGACAATGCATATTAAGCTTCTTGAGTTATGCTTTTCATAGACAGACAGACAGACAGACAAAGAGACGGATAAACGCTACTGAAAACATAACCTTCTTGGCGAAGGTAACTAGGCCACAGTCATCGACAGAACTTTGGTTACTTTCTTATCATGCATGATTAAGATGGAAAAAAACGTCAAAGGATAGTAGCTAGTTAGCACTACTCTAGAGTAGTGCGAACTTGAAAGAGGAGCAAGAAACAGGAAGTCTAACTGTTATTCTGACACAAATAGAATAGAGCAAAGAGCAAACGGTGGAAGGAAAGAAACGGGTCCACATCGCTGAGTTGCTTGCTCTGGTCAAACGGTCTGAAACTTCGCACACAGACCACAGGGTCAAGGGGTCAGTCCGCAGTCCGGGCTGTCCACACATGTCGGCTCTGACCACAGGACCATTGGTGGACAGTACTGGTAGTAAATGTAATGGCCATGTCCGTGATGTGAGAGAGTGAGGGGGAAAACGGACGCCATACACAAGAAGAGACAGTTGTAGATCTGCATGGTGAGTTTCTGGCCTTGTGTTTAATTCGCAGTTTCATCTCTCAGAGGCTCGTTATTTCCTTCGCCAAGAAGGTTATGTTTTCAGTAGCGTTTGCTCGTCTGTCCGTTTGTCTGTCTGTTTGTCTGTGAACAGCATAACTCAAGAAGCTTAATACGCATTGTCATGAAATTTGGAAGGTGGGTAGGTCTTGATGAGACTTAGAAATGATTACATTCTGGGCCCCCTGGCGGCTTTTGTTGGTACTGCAGCAGAACTTCCGGTTTTGATATCTCGCGATCTAGACATGCTAGGGTGACGAATTTTGTTTGGTTGATAGCTCTTGGGGTAGGGAAGAAGTGACGTGAGTTTGGGCTCCCTAGCAGCTTGTTGGACCTGGGAAGAGGAATGGGCAGGGAGTTCTGAAGTGCGAATCGTACACACGCGCAATACCTTGTTATTCTGGCGGGGGGAGGGGTGGGTGGGGGTGGGGGGGTTGCTATCCTGTATGATATAGTAATTCCGTGGTAATAAGTGTACTGGTCTGGGGTCGTGTGGCGTAGCTCGGCAGCGTGCTCGACTCGGAACCAATAGTAGGTCCCGGATTCGAGTCCTGACATGCCACCGATCTTGTGCGTTTGGAAAGGCACTTTACACGACTTTCCTCACATAACTCAAGTAAAATTGTATCTGTATCTGTCGGCATAAAATAAGTTGATATAACTTGAGTGTGCTGTCACCATGTCTAGTCATGAAATGTTGGAAAACATGTTGAATGTTAAAAATAATAATAATTAGTGTACGTCTTGGCAAACAAGGGATCAATGCAAATCTCTACAGTAAATTTTCGCTACACTGCAAAAGTTATGCAGGTATCCGGACACATTATTCCAAATCTAGAACGGCTCTTTTAACTTGCACTCGTACACCTAGAAATCTTTCACGGGATTAAGAGCACTATGCATATCCTATGATGTCTATATCATGAACTGGGGAGATTAATTACTGAATGAGTTTTTTTGCTTTCTTGCTCTTTGATCATGATACTTTTGCTCTGTAAGGTTTTATGTACAAAAACACAATTCGTGCTGTATCCTGCAAATTAACTCCACACGATGATCTACTGCGAATCATGTCTGTCATGTTTTCATGGCGGTGCACAAGAGATTTTGCTGATGCGACCAAATATTTGGGTTGAGAGCATATGTTTATGTTTATGTTTATGTTTATGTTTATGTTTATGTTTATGTTTATGTTTATGTTTATGTTTATGTTAATGTTAATGTTAATGTTAATGTTAATGTTTATGTTTATGTTTATGTTTATGTTTATGTTTATGTTTATGTTTATGTTTATGTTTATTAGGAACAGTTTCTTACTACTCTTGCTGGAGTCATGTACATTATAACATATTATAACATCACAATAAATACCACATACAATTCCGCTGTCATTTTTATATACACCACTACACATATACACCATTACATATATACACCATTACACATATACACCACTACACATAACTTCACACTATGTACTTAATAGCGACATATACACCAGAACAATATAACCATTGAGCTGCGCTATAATTACTTTTAGCATCGGTGCTCCTTAGTCAAAACGTTAATCTGAAGTCCTGTTCTTGATTCAGAAGACAGGTGGTTCTTTCCACACGGGTTGGGCGCCTGTGGCATGTCTCCAACACGCGGCCCCAAGTGCACCATACACGCAGGAAACACGAGTAAAGAGCTCCCTAATGAAGCTGTTTGCC